TTATTGTTATACATTAAATTATTTAGATGAGAATTGGGCGTGTGGTTCAGCTATTGATCAAGCACGAAATAATAGTAATGGTATTATAGCTGACGATATTGATAAACATCATTGGTTACATCAGTGGTCATATTCAACAAGTAAGAAAGCATGTTTTCTTTCGAATAAAAGATTTCATAAAATATAACAATTTAGTACCACTTGATTCTGATCAACAATTAATTACAATGTTACGTTCATTACAACCATTACTTGTTGAAGCATTAAAAAAACGTAATGTTAATGGTTTATGGAGTACAATTGATGGTCCATTAACATGGAAATCTTTTCATCAATTATTATATGTACAAAATCATCATGCACATCTTGAAGAACAAATAAGTGGACCACAACCAATACCATATATACTTGCTGGTCTTGATAGGGAATGGATTATGTTAGCACCTTATAGTGTTAAATTTTGGGATAAATTATGTCTTGAACCATATTCAAAACGAAAAGATATTGGTTATATATGTGTTATACCAGATAATGATTATATATGTTCAATGACAAAAACATATTTTCGTGAATTATCAACACATTATGAATTATGTCGATTAGGCATACATCGGCCTTTATCAAAAGTATTTTCTGATCAAGGAATTTTACGTATATTATCACAAAATAATGATTCATTGCAACCTCCAAATATTGATCAATGGTTTACAGATCATGAAACTACGCATCCACTTGGCAGTCGATTAAAACTTTATGCTCAAATACTTAAAGAAAAACTTTGTAAGAATTCATATAGATTACTACTATCGGAATTTTTAAAGAAGACGCGTGAAAGAAAAGTCATAGTAACCTGCGATTTTCGCCATTCAGTAAAGGAAAGCCAGGTGCACATGCCTATGCATAAGAAATGTCTGCCCAAAGTGCCACCCATAGCCAGTTTTGAAAAAAGGATTTTTCATAAAAATTGGCTATTAATTTCTGTAGCTCGCACTGATTTCTTGCAAATGTTATAAAAGAAAATCTTTGAAGTTGTTTACATACTATTCTCAAAAAAGACTCATACTAAAATTAACTGGAAAATATACTTTGGAGAAATAGTTCTCACGCATAGTTATAAATATAATAGAACTAGATAGAGTAAAAACTCATTTTGTAGCAAAAAATTTCGAGAATATGACAAGTCTAATACGTTTTGATTATTCATACTTTTGAAAACTAAATTCTATTTTTTAGCTAACATTCTCTCCACACAATTCTTCGAAAGCATATTATTAGAAGATATTACATCTCGTCGTGATGCATTTCGTAGCCCCAATGATTTATCTTCATCTTCATTTGATTTCCATTCAACGGGAAATGATGTAACAAATAATGGCCATTCATTTTCTCCATCATCCTCTACATCAACTAATCTTACTGCAAATAATATCTATACAACTGGATCCGCAGCTACTGACGTTCTAAATGCATCCACAAC